CCCCCCCCGGTACGGACACTGTACGGACGGCTAGGAACGGTGGCCGGCGAGGCGCCGGTCATGGCGGCGACGGGCGTACGTTCTGGATGAACAGTAACCGTACGGACGTGAACGATGAACCGTGCGGGGGTCAGCTGTACGGACGGGGCTGAACGGCGACGTATGGACGTCTTTGGAGGCCCGGGTGTCGACGGAACGGCTATCGAGCTCCGGCGAAGCTCCGGCGGTTCTGTTTGTAAAACAGAAAAATGAGAAAAGAGGGAAAAAGGAGAGAGAGAGCTGTTTTTGGACTATACCCGGGGCCGTGGTGGCTGCACAAAGGTGGAACTAGCTGCTGGTGGTTCTGGCTCGGCGGGGACAGCACCAGCTGGTACTGTTCCGGCGTGAACAGTACCAGATGAACAGAATGCCATCCACGAAGAAGATGAAACAATGAAGAAGAAGAGGAAGAACGGAGGTCTCGGCAGAATGGCTGGAGGAGAGAGAGAGGGTCTGGTCAAATGGGTCAAAGATGGTCTTAGTGGAGTCCAAGTGTCATTATCTAAGCCCATTTGACAATTTTACCCTTGATCCAATGGACTAGATTTGATCAAATCCAATAATTTAGGGATAAAATAGTCTTTTGTCCCCAACCATGGTTGACCAGACCTGGTTTAACCTTAACTCACCTTGGTTAATCCCAAAATTAAATCCAATTTTCGGAATTAATCAAAAATGGCCTAGGGGCATTTTCGTAATTTTCCAATCCCGAACCGAAATTCCATTTTTCGCACATACGCGTTCCATATATGCGTGGCCAATATAATATGACGTCGGAATCGCGAAATTCATCGCGCAAGCCCTCGAAAATCCACGTCAAAGTTTCGGGAATAAAATAATATTATTTTTTCAATTTTTGTCGAAATTCCAATTTTTGTCCAAAACGACTCCTGGTATGAGTGGCCACCCAAAAATGGCGTCGGCCACGAAAAATAACCTCATTTGGCCTCGAAAAGCGACGCTGGCATCCCGGGGGCAAAATCGTAATTTTTCACCCCCGGACCGAAATTCCAATTTTTACTCGTACTAACTCCACATGTGTGTGGTCAGCGTAATATGACGTCAAATTCCCAAAAATAGTCTCTTAAGCCTTCGAAAATCGATACCGAAATCCGAGCCCAATTCCGTAAACAAAACCCGCTAAACTTTCAATTTCAGGGTCTCTCACTAACGGGCGGCAGTTTAGAGATTACGCGTATCAACCTAGGGCTACCCGTATCGTAATGGTCTCGATCATTGAGAGAATGAGAAATTATCACTAGCCCTAGAGGCTACGATCATTCGGTTTAGGTTCAGGACTGATTGGCCACGTGCACTTTTCGGTCATGCAGATTCACCTGCGATCCGAGTGTACAACGTTGGCCTTGGCCAAACCAAATCCGTTACCTTTCCTAAGATCGGCTCACATCGGTTCAAAATATTCCCTCAACATCTCTCGCGATCTGTATCCGTTTCACGATAAGGTCCCCGGTCCACGTACCGCTTTCTAGTTAGCCATGCCCCATTGGTTAGTATTCCGAGAGCGATCAGTTCTGGGCGAGACTTACTAAAATGAAATGCGAATAATATCCATTTTATTGATCCCGGACTTACATCGAAATTCGGGCTGTTACAAAACTTATACCTGGATTATTAGTTGGATGAATATAGAATCAATCATTTTCATCATCAAGCCATGTGATGCCCGACTTCTTGATTGATTATTTGTTACTTTGTATTCATCGAAAGGAAGCCATGAGGATCTATGACAGACAATGAAATATGAGTTTGTGAATTATGTGGTGAAATGATTTAGTGCTCTAATACCTCATAAAATTTGAAATACGTCAAATTTCAATGTGAAAGCTAAAAATTTTCATCGTGTCTCTCTATTTTTTATATATAAGAAGACAAGAGATGTGATAGTATCTATCGATAAGCTTAAAGCAATACTTTCACAATTCAAACTCAAACATCTTGACAAGTATATTAAATAAGTTCAAGAAAAAATATGAAATACTAGGAAATAGAGAGAATTGGGGGTGATAGAATCCACACAACAATAGAGCTGGACACTAAGTGCCGGCCCAAATGTTAAGCCCAAGCCTGGTCTTTCAAAAAGTTAATTTATAATTATTCAATGAAAAAGAAAATCAACAAAATGAGACTATTTTTTCAAATATTCAAAATAACAAAAATAATTAAGGAAAATTTCTGAAAAAACCCATTCAACCAAACCAAATTGAAATACAAGTACAACTTCACATAATTTGAAAAAGAAAATTACACATATTGCTGATCTAACAACGATTACATCGAAAGGAAATGTGTAATTAATACAGTGTATTCAATGCTACGTCCTTCACTATGATTCAGATGATACAGTGTCGTCATTGTCTTCTTGTTCATGTTGGGCACATTCCTCTAGCAATCAAACCCGACCACAGCCATTCCTAAATTTTTCGTAGATAAGCTGGATCTATTGATCTTCAATGATCCATTGGCTTGTACTAAACTTGGACTCCAATGGTACCATAGACACTAATAGGGTCAATAAATCAAGAGCCATGGTGGAAAAAATCAAAAAATCGGTGGCTCTTCTCTTCCATCATTTCAGAACGACAATGTTGTCTTCTCCAACTCTATCGATGTATTTGTAGATGAAGAAGAAAGACCTAACAAAAGGTTGTGGGTGCTCTTCTTCTTACGAAGCAAGGACTATACAAGTTTCTAGGCATTGCTTGATGAGGGTGCCATCTCTATCTGTAAAACCCGTCGTATCGAATTGACGTGTATGTTGTATACATATTCCGGAGGCTACTCATTGCCATCGCCAATATCCGTTCCACTTATACCTCCTCAGTTAATCCCAAATTTTCGTGATATTGAACAAGGAAAGTATTGAGCCCCTCCAACTTGAACCTCAGACCCAAAAATGTCCCCCCCTAAAAAAAAAAACAGGCGCAAATATCTTTCTAATATTTTGAGGAATTTCGCCTTCATGGCAACTTAACGGTGTGACCCCAGTGCTCCTTGCGGAGCATATATTTTCTTGTTGTTCTCTTTGTTGCGGAGTCATTGGACGGTCAATTTCTCTTTTAATTAAAGTATTTAAAAGGCACGTACCTGAACTTATCTCTGTTATATGTGAAGCAAATTCAGTGAGGGATTTCAATAATATATTTTTGCACAAGAATCTCATGAATACCAATGCTTGCTATATGAATCGTAATAAGGAATCTTACATTATCGTAATAAAGTTACTCAAATCAGTAAGTATCAGTACCTTCTTTACATAATTGAAGTTCTGTTCTTTTTTCACGCACATGGTGTGTGCTCCTTTGTTATTAGTATAAAAAAAGACCTCGAGAGCAATTTATGAGGTCCCCTGTAAAAAGGTTTTCTTTCACAAGCTCCGTAAATCGTGTGATACATGTGAGATTCAAGTTACGATGACTCATTAGGATATGCCACAGATGGCATCAGTCCTAGCATGACTACGGGACTGCTTTACCAACCAGCATGAACAAAAACATAATATGCACAATAGTAAAAATAATTTGTTGAAATATTATTTCACATTGTTTGACAATGGGTCATGTATGCTCTTTACATTCATATGATCTCATTCAACCTAAATATGAATCCCTTTGCGTATGTGTGGTCCACCCCTTATCAATCAGGTATTGAAATATTATCTCACATCGCTTAAGAGGAGTTGTGCTCTTTATTGGACTTTTTAACACAACTTACAATTTGGTTGCAAATAGAAACTTTCTACATTGGCAGATAAATATAAGTTGTAGTTAGATTGTTGAAAGGTTTAAAGTACAAAATAATAAACGACATAAAAGACTTTGAAAGTCTCGTTGTATTTGATGGCTTGATCGGACGGGTCTTGGAGGGCATTGACCTGGAAATATTGAATCACACTTTAAGATATGGAAAAGATTTGGAGCCTTTTCCTTGTGAATCAAACCAAGAGATCCGTTTGACCCAAAGCTAGCACTTATGTATTCATCGAAACCCTAGTTGGGAAATTGCGAAGAACTATGGCGTCCTACACTAGCTTTTGCGAAAATTATTTTAAAAAAAATTTAAATTTATTATATGATTGCCAATTCAGTCACAAACCTTTTAATTTGGTTAATTCAGCCCTAAACTTTTTTATGATTTACCAATGTAGTCATTCGATCAATTTTAACTGGAAATTACTGACGTGGATGATAGCTATCCTATGTGGTATGGCCGGAGCCGACATGAACAATTTTTACAACTTTTTAAATTTCTTTTTTTTTCCTCATTTTTTTATTTTTTTTTTCCTCCACCTGTCCGCGACCTCGATGGTGACCGGTGGAGGTCGTCGGCCCTTGCCGAAATAGAGCAAGGGCGTCGTGGCCCTCGCTAGATCTAGGCGACAAGTTGCAAGCCTTTGCCCAGTGGCTAGCGAGGGTCGCTCCCTGTCGCCTGTGGCTAGAGAGGCCACCGTAAAAAGAACAAAAAAGAAAGGAAGAAAAGAAACAAAAATAAATAAATAAAAATCTAATAAATCACTTTTAAAAAATTATAAAAATTATCTACGTTAGTGTTAGGTAGGTGCGCCACAGCAAGCTTGATATAAATGTTAGCACGTCTTGGGTTTTTTTTTTTTAAACATTTCTTTACAAAGGCTTCCATTGTCCACGACAGCTTTCAGCCAAAGTTTTCTTTGGTGGGGCCCCGACCCAATGTTTCTCTTTGCTAATGCTATTTCAGCGGTTCCCTTGATGTCTTGACCATTTAACTCGTCTTGCAACGCAAAACTTGGAATCTTTAAGTCGCTTTAGGTGGCCAGCGATCAGAGGATGGACTTAAAATAGACGTTAATTTCCTCCGCTCTTTTTTTTTCTACATTTTTTTGTGAATAAAAAAGATAATTTTTTTTTAAGGAAGCGTCGTTTTGCCATTATAAATGGAAGTTCTCAGGTTCATTTTAAACAACAATGGCTTCCCACTTCCACACTAACTTCGTGCATGCGCTCTTGCATGCACTCTTTGTCATTCAAGCCTTTGAATTCAGTCACTCCAATGCCTTAACAAATGTAAGCTGCATGGGCGCTGAGAGTGAAGCTCTTCTCAAGTTCAAGCAGGATCTCACTGATCCTTTGAAACGTCTATCGTCGTGGACCGGCGAGCATTGTTGCGAGTGGGAAAGAGTTGAATGCAGCAATAAAACTAGTCACGTCTCGAAGCTCGATCTCGAGAATCACGGTCTGGGAGGTAAGATACATCCTGCTCTTGGAGAATTGAAGCATTTGAAGTATCTAGACCTCAGCTTCAACAATTTCATTGGCCATATACCCAATCAATTTGAAAATTTCAAAGATCTCGAATTCCTTTATCTTTCAAGAAACTCGATTTCAGGTCCTATTCCTACTACTGTCGGTCAATTATCATCTCTGAGATGTTTGGACCTCTCTGGCAACAATTTGAGTGGGAACATTCCAGAAAGTATTGGGCGACTATCCAATCTAAAGATACTGGACTTAGGTAATAATCGATTGGATGGAGTTGTCAGCGAACTTCACTTGGCAAATCTCACCAGCTTGACCTGGTTTAGTTTATGGTCGGACGAGCTTGTTATAAATATTAGCGCATCTTGGGTTCCTCCTTTCCAAATAAAGTCCATTTTCTTGTCAAGTTGCAAAGCGGGACCAGAATTCCCAAACTGGCTTCGAACTCAAAGGAACATTTTGCAGTTACTCATGTCAAATGCTAGCATCTCAGGTGAAGTTCCCCATTGGCTACCTGATATTTTATCTAACACTCGAGATTTAGATCTCTCGGGCAATATGCTTAGAGGCAACATATCTAGAATTATTGGAAAAAGGACACCACGATTAGGGCGAGTGTTACTTTCTCGAAATAACCTTAGTGGTGACATTTCAAATTTGTTATGCATGTTACATCGATTGTATATTCTTAATCTCTCTGATAATCAACTATCTGGGAGACTTCCGCAATGTTGGAGGAAATCGCTACTTTCTTTGAAATGGATGTCATTGGGAGACAACAAGTTAAATGGTCAGATTCCAAACTCTCTATGCAGTTTGGTGCATTTGGAAGTTCTAGTCCTACACAAAAATGGCTTGAATGGAGTGCTTCCAGAATGTTTAGTAGAGACAGAATTGGTAATTCTTGATCTCAGTGAGAATCAATTCACCGGTAGAATACCTCTGTTTGGCTATCGGGTTGGGGTAATCAATCTTGAGAGAAATTACTTCACCGGGGACATTCCTTTGCAGCTGTGTCAACATCATAATCTCCAATATCTAAGCCTAGCGCATAACAACCTTTCTGGAAGCATTCCTCCTTGTTTTAGCAACTTATCGCAGATGTGGGCTGATTCCACTGGTACTTCATTTTTGGAACCCGTGTGGAAAATTCCCTCTATTGTGGTTACTATAAAGGGAACAAGGCTAGAATTCACCAGCTCGCTCCGATATTTATATTCCATTGACCTTTCAAGCAACGCATTGGGAGGACAAATACCGGAAACGCTAACTAGGCTTGCTCGACTTCAGAATTTGAACCTCTCCCAAAATAAGCTGTTTGGAAAAATCCCTTCAGATATTGGCAACTTGAGATATTTGGAATCACTTGATCTGTCCAATAACAAGTTATTGGGTGAAATCCCTCATAGCATATCCAATTTAAACTTTCTAAGTCGTTTGGATCTTTCCTTCAACAATTTATCTGGTCCTCTTCCATCAGGCAATCAATTAAGCACTTTGGATGATCAACTTGTTTATCGTGGCAATGATGAACTGTGTGGAGCTCTTCTTTTAAAAGTTTGTCTGGGAGATGAGCATAATGATATCGACAAACAATATGGTCACAATTCAAGTGAACATGAATCTAATGAAGGTGACTCTGTTGTTAATTGGTTTTACTCGGGATTGGGATCGGGTTTTGTGGTGACATTTATGGGATTCTGCGGCATATTACATTTCAATCAATCTTGGAGGATCTCCTATTTTCGGACAGCGGATAGGATTATTGAAAAATTGTCGATTGGGAGGATGATTATCATGCTCTGGTTCAAGAGAGCTTTTCAATTCTAAATACGCAAAAAAGAGGTTATTTAGTGGGTAAAATCAATCTCTATCTCTCTCATGATTCATAGCTTCTTTTTCTCACTCATTTATTTTGTTGATAGATTTTGCTAATTGTTTCTAGCAATTGTCCTCACATTTATGACGCAGGTGGTACCCTGCATGAAAGTACAAATTGATTTATCCAATTACGGACGTGGACCACTGCAACTGCTACGGAGCTGATAGTTCCTCTCTTCATGATGGAAGATTGCTATTGAAGTTTCAAGTAATAAAGATGTTGTACTCATTATTCTCCAACATTTCTCTCTTTCTTTCTATTTGGTTATAAAAACAAAAACAAAAAGTCTATTGCTTTTGTCCAAGAAAATGTATACGTTATATGTAAAATGAGCTTGACTATGTGAGCCAAAATCGAAAGTGTCTACGGTCCTGGTAGGGTGAAAATTGGAGCAACGTTTCATGCCGGTAACATGTGAAAAGCACGATAACTACCCAAACACGTTAGCAATTAAATTTTGATCGACAACTTGTTCAATTGATAACACGTTAATAAGTTACCAACACTTTTACAAAAGTATCAGGAGTTACTAGATTGTCTTAAATTACATATTTCAATAATTTACTAACATTATTTACAAAAATTACAAATACATTAACGTTACCAACTTTGTATAGAAAATTACCAACTCCTATTTGAGTCCACTTAACAACATTTATCACATCATTTCAAAATTACTGATTGCTCCAGTATATCACTAAGATTTGTTGTAAAAGTCACCGATGCTTCAAAATTACACTCTTATCCAAAACTACCAGTCTTTATTTGGGTGATATACAAAGTTTTTGCAGGTTAAGTTACCAACTAATTTTAATTTTGCTAACTCGTATTTAAGTAAATTACCAACATTCGTTTGATTGTTTTGAAACTAACGACGGTACTAGTAGTTAACCAATATTTATTTTTGGAGCATACGAACCATTAAATTTATTAACTCTAATTACCAACCTTCTTTTAAATCATATTACAAATGTTATCTGATTGTTTGCAATTACCCAGCTTCCAATACTTCACAAAGTTATTTGTTAAAGTTAGCAAGATGTTAAATTTACTAGTTCTTATAAGAAATATACCAACTTTTGTTTGAGTCACAATTAACGATCGTTTAATTATTTTCAAACTCCAATTGTTCAAATAATTTAGGGTTAATACCACGAAAAACCCTAAACTGGTACACTTGTGACAGATTTACCCCAAACTATTTTTTTTATCATAAAAAACCCCAAACTGGTACATCTATGACAATTTTACCCCGAACTATTTTTTTGACCACCAAAAACCCTAAACTGGTACACCTGTAACAATTTTACCCCGAACTATTTTTTGACCACCAAAAATCTCAAACTGGTACACCTGTGACAATTTTATCCTGAACTAATTTTTTAATATTATTTTTTTTATTTTTCGAATTTTTTTAGTTTTTCTTTTGTTTTCTTTTTCCTTTCCTTTTCTTTTTTTTTTCCTTCATCTTCATTGGACCAACAATGGATTGTTATATTGTAATTGATACCACAATAACGTGACACGTAACATAAATGCTACATTTTGACCCAAAAAAAAACATAAACGCTAAATGAAAGACTTTCTTTTATATACATGAATTTTCATGACAACCACTTTTTTCTACATTTAAATGTCTCACGTTTTATTTATTATATATTTCAAGTGATCATATTGATTTATGAATCGCCATGCACATATAATATCTCTCATCTTATATATAAAATATACTAATTTTGTAAATTAATCTGTTAAATTAAATTGGCAAGCAAGACGTATATAAATTGTTGATTAGCTGTACTCCAAGCTTAGGTAACAAGCCTACGTTGGACCCCATCAGTTTGCCTATCCACTTGCACCCAAAAATAAGAAAGACACGACAACAATATAATGCCTTTTTCGCGAGACATTTAAATGTAGAAAAAAGTGGTTGGCATGAAAATTCATGCATATAAAAGAAAGTCTTTCATTTAGCGTTTATGTTTTTTTTTTTGGGTCAAAATGTAGCATTTATGTTACGTGTCACGTTATTGTGGTATCAATTACAATATAACAATCCATTGTTGGTCAAATGAAGATGAAGGAAAGAAAAAAAGAAAAGGAAAGGAAAAAGAAAAGAAAAGAAAAACTAAAAAAATTCGAAAAATAAAAAAAATAATATTAAAAAATTAGTTCGGGGTAAAATTGTCACAGGTGTACCAGTTTGAGGTTTTTGGTGGTCAAAAAAATAGTTCGGGGTAAAATTGTCACAGGTGTACCAGTTTAGGGTTTTTAGTGGTCAAAAAAATAGTTCGGGGTAAAATTGTCACAGACGTACCAGTTTGGGGTTTTTTATGGTCAAAAAAATAGTTTGGGGTAAATCTGTCACAAGTGTACCAGTTCAGGGTTTTTCGTGGTATTAACCCAATAATTTAACAATATTTATTTACACAGCTTACCAACTTGCGAAATTTAATAACTATTCTCGAAAAGTATCAACTGTTAATGGAGTCCATTACCCACGTTTATTAGATTATTTAGTAGTTACAACAGCAGAAATTTTAGCCTTAAAGGCTCACGCTTTTATCTAAAAATTTCATCAGAGCCCGCGCCTTATGCTGAGACAAATTGATACTGACATGTAGTAACAGAATGGACAAGTTCTCTTAGTTTACATAGGCCATACATAATAGTTATTAATCTAGAAAATCTCTACTACATATTAAATTTATTTCCTAAACTGGTTCTTAGATGCATTTATTTCCTCTCCACGTACTTAAAAAAAATATTTCTTTTCCTTTTTCTTCTATTTAAATATATACATGCGCTCTCTCTTTTACTAGTACTAATTTCATCAGTGTAATTTGAGGACAATGTCAAAATTTGTTCTTATACTCTTATCCAATGCTCAAGCTCAATTTGGTTCTTGAATTTTGATCGTGGCCAGAATTGGCCCTTATGCCCTTTTAATGAAATCAATTTAATCCTTGAAATTAATTTGATCCGATTGGTATCTGACACGACAACCCAAGTTAGCCATGCGTGTGACTCACATTTGCTGCTGTGGCTGTACGCGCCATTACCCACATCATTAAAACTTGAACAAAAGAAATAAAAGCAAAAACAGGGGAAAAAAATGACAGAACGTGAAAAGAAAAAAGATGCATATTGCACAATTTTCAGAGAAAGGCGGCAGGGGCCGCCCCAGCTTCGCCGGTGAGCCCTCACCAAGAGCCGGCGATGGAGTGCCATTGCGTGGTGTGTCGATCGGCCCTCATAAGGGTCAACCAACTCTTGCCGCCTGGTCGTATACAATTATACGCTTGCTCTCTTATTAATACTAATTCAGTACGTGTAAAATATTATGTCTCGATTTCAAATGGCACCGATAAATGTACGACATACAATCTTTTCTTCAAACTCCCTTCAAAATCCGGCATGTGACAAACAAAGTCGGAAATGTTTACTGAGAGTTAGGAAATCTCATGGTTAGGTAGCTAATTAAGTGATTAGATAGGGAGTTAGATACATGTTATTAAAAATGAAAACGAGCAACTTCTGGGACAAAAATAGGAGAAAACAAATTTGCTATAGAAAAGATTAATTAGCAACTTTAATTAGAAAAGATTCGACAAAAAAAAATTAAATTATAAAAGTTTATTTAGCAGTAAATAATGCAGTCAATGGGCCTGGGACAATTAAACGGAGAATGACCCTTTAACATTAGAAAAGTTTTTTTAGCAAATTCCTAGCTTTCTCAAGCCATTACTTTGATTAACGTCCTCCTCCTATCCTGGGCCGGGCTCAGCATTTGTTGCTCAGGGTATACAGTACATCCTGCAGTTATTAAATAAAGGAAAATAAAAAAGACAAAAAGAAACATTATTAAATTTGGATGATTTTTAATTATTATAAGTAGCTACTTAGTGGATTGTTAGGTATAGGATAATTATACTCACTCCCACATTTCTTTCCGGCGGGCCTGTTCCTAATGTTGCACCTCTTCGAGATCGAGATAGCCGTGGCCGGCATAATCCCGGCCTGCTTCGCTGGAGGAGAGAGCAAGACGGCACAGAGGCAGCGAGGAGTGGTGCGGATGAGCGCGTTGACTTTGGCGCAGCGGGCGAGCGGGACCTTAGCCCGGGCGTCTCTAGCTGCCCCCAGGCAAGGACTCAAGCTGGCGGTGGCCAACCGGATGGGGGTACCCTCACACTCTCCGGCCACGTTCGCTTCCCAAACGTAGACGTTCGAAATCACCAATACCATCAAGATGGACAAGGGCACAAACATGGCAACATGAGAGTTGTGAGCCATTCTTGTATATGGGGATTGCAGGTGGCAATTTTCTCTATTTGCTCTTATAAGTTGGTGTGTGGAGAGAAGTCAGGAATATGACTCAGTATATATAGACATCACAAGCCGTGAAGAAGGAAGGGAACTGAACAAAGGTGATGGGTTTTGGAATAGTGGGGTGGTTGACAGAATATTAGCAGAAAAGTTGGTGAAGCAACTTTGGGTAAATCCAGATCGCGAAGGGCCCGCTAACCTCACGAGCTAGGTAATGCACGTCGCACAAGCCAATTTCGAGTAATAAGTGGCTTCAACGTTGGTTCAGAGCACTTGGTGACGTGAGAAATTGAACTGTATCTTTTGACATTGGTCCGTTATTTAGTCACCGCATCAATCTTTTAGGGCTTTCTCTTTTCAAAGGAAAAATTACCAAAAAAGTCTTAAACCTATTATAATTGTGCCAATTTAGTCCTTAATCCTTTTTTTTTTCCAACTGAGTTTTAAACTTTTTGTATTTAGTACTAAATTAGTATAATTGCTATAGATTTAGGACTTGTTAGATAATTCTCCCCTTTTTAGATAATGACTTGATTCTTCAATGGTTGAGCATATTTAACAGAGGTGCACGCTATAAGTATTTGAACTGTTACTTATTATCCAATTAAATGTCGAAACTTTTCAAATATGACTTAACGTGAGGTCTTTGTTAAACACACAAATGACAAATGTTGATGTGGACATTAACGCTGCTGGGAAATCTTCAAATGTACACATTGGCATCCAACTCTCTCCCTCTCTCAGTATCTAAATCTCTAACTTTGTTAAAAATTCTGTTTAAAAAATGCCCTCGGTAAGCAGAACATTTCCTATTAAGTATTCTTAACGAGTGCCCTAAGGGAACTCATTAACAAGATACTTTTACGTTGAAAACTTTCCTAGCTACCCCCAACGCCCATCTCCACCAACGGCCGCTACCGCTCTCGAACACCACACTACCAATATGGACCCAAATAACCACCAACACCTTCAGACGCCACTACCACTACCTGACTCGGCCTCACCACCGCCGGTAGTACTTAGTCCTGCCAATATGAACAAATCCGGCCTTGCCGCCTCCAACCACACTCGGATTCACCATAACAAACCACAACCACCAACCGAGAGATCGAGAGATCGAGAGAAAAGCTCTGGTGAGGCGGCAAGGCACTGGGTCGATAGCCATGGACGGACGCACCAGTCAGAGGCGAACAGAGGAAGAAGAAGGACGAGAACAAAAGAAAGAACAAAGGAACGACAACGAAAGGCGAAAGAAATTTCTATGTGCTGAGTTGGAAGAGTGAATGACGTGACTGGCTACAATTTATTGGAAGCCTAATATCGAGCCCAATTTTGAAAGTTGAGATACTTAATTGAATAACATAAAAACTTAAATTTTGAATTATAAAATAATGAAAAGTTTAGGCGAGCCCTTACAATATCACTTTCCCTAGTAAATAAAAAAAAACATATTCAACTTTTTCGAACATTGATCACATATCGTAAGCATATTAAGTCTTGTAATTTATTCATTTGAAAAGTACCCCAAGAGTACTTTTTTTTTTAACAAATCCTACATCTTTTTATCAATATGGAATATTCGAACATTTCGGGTTAACTAAGCCTGAAGGTCAGTGCGTAAATCATCTCGTTCATGTGTATCAGGCATGGATTAAGGTGATGAGTTTGGGTTCCGATGTTATTCCAAATGAAAAACGATAAAATATTGATATGAGATTTACCGCATTCAAATCAAGCAATTAAAACTTAACCACCTAACTTTTTACAGAATCCAAGATCATAAGAAGAACCCACATTAATATTGTCGATTTCTATATGCTTAAGTGATAGAATGGACCCAACATGTAGGCCTGGGCCAATCGAACCTTGCCTAATATACATAAGTGCTGTCATAAGGCTCTCATATCATAATGCAATTAATGAAGGACATTACAGCTACACATCGTGTTGGCAGTATTGGGCGCACTGTGCCACCTCAATTTCCTAGGATTTTCGGATTGGTAAATATCGGTTTCATGGAGATCAAATTGGAACACCCTTTCCTCTAAGGTTGCAAGAATTTGACAGTAAAACAACAATGGGATTTCTTTTTTTCCTTTCACGACAAGTTTATTGTTTAATGAGATACAAAATCCAATCATGTGAGCTTTAATTGCTCTGACCTTTATCCAAAGTGGAGTCATATTCAAGTTTTTGGAGTTAAGACTCCCCCTCAAGTAGGCGTCTGGAATTCTGTTATGCCCGGTTTGTTTGTAATACTTTTCAAAAGTCTCTTTTGCCAATTCCTTCGTGAAGATGTCTGCCAACTGTAATCCTGTAGTTGTCGAAAATGTCCCCTTGCTTGACAAAGGCGTTCATATGCTTTTTATATACATTCCACCTACCAAGGTTAGATTCTATCCATTTCACATATGCGTTCACCTTTGACAATCAAATTTCGCATACCATTCCTAATACAACTCGCATGTAAAAGAGAGTGTCAAAATATCTTATATCACTTGACAATGGATGGGGTTCATATACTCTTTATATATATTTCATTTATACGCTTAAACTTTTAGGTTGGATTTTCTAATAGTAGTCGCGTAGCTTGGCTTCACAAGTCCTTGTTGTGTGTTTTATCTTAAGATTTTATATTGGATTTGCTGTAACATGTGGAGCCATTTGACTATTAGAAAACATTTTTGGAGCAGACAAACCTGTAAATCCCCAATTCCTTGAATAAATAAGTTAGACATTGAACTTCACAACATGCATTCGCCATGGAATCATCATCTATGTACAACTTTTGCATATGATCTTAACTCATTTGATTGTCTGGTAACTCTCCATGAGATAATACTTTCTCATAGGAATGCCCAGTATCCGATAATTAATCTTCTCATATTTGGACAAGATGCCTGATCCAATCCGAGTTTGGAGGTTGATTCATCTGAAGCCACGAGGATCGATGATGGGCCATGGAATGGAGTTTGCAAATTAATGTGGTCCAATAACCTAGTTGCAATGCCTTACAAATTTTGGAATAAGAAAGTCGAATTTCAATGCGAAAGCTTAAGCTTTTCATTCTATCTATATATCGATATATACAAGTATACAATGGATGTGATAGTATCTATCTATAAGTAAAATCAAATCTTCCAAAATTAATGCAAAAACCTACCTATCTATTCAAAGTAGAAGTTAGGTTATTAGATATCCAGTCTCATACAATCACTCAATCTGATTGTGAATTACCTTCTAACTTCACGCAAATGCCAAACCCAAACATCTTGACAATTATGATGATTAAGTTGGAGAAAAATATGAAATAATAGGAAATAGTGAAAGAGTTGAATAGACCAATCTTCATCCCATTTTGCTTCTCCTGTCCAAGATATTTTGCTAGCCATCTTCTACTAATCTAATTGCTGCTTGTTATTCAACTTAATAAAATCGAATTCATAACAAAATTGAAAGTTAACTTTGATCATTCCCATTTCTAAGAGGAAAAGCGGGCAATTTGATCAATTTTCACGAGAAGACATTTCCAACCTCCTGCGGAGAAAAGTTGCAAACGACAAATTTCATGAGGAGACGAAGTTCACTAAGGAAAGATTCTATGAAGATTTGTACTTCTGTAAGACACGTCAAAATATAAAGTTCGTCATTGATTGCGTGATAAAGAGAAAAAGATGACATAATTGACTAAAGAAAACTCAAGTGAAGCACCTTCTTGGTTCCATAACTCTTCTGAAAAGTGTGCAATTCAGGGTTTGAATTGATTAGTACCATCCCGTTCAATAACTATTTTAATTTCTATAAGGGTTAATACCACGAAAAACCCTAAACTGGTACACTTGTGACACATTTACCCCAAACTATTTTTTTGACCATAAAAAACCCCAAACTGGTACACCTATGACAATTTTACCCCGAACTATTTTTTTGACCATCAAAAACCTCAAAACTGGTACATCTGTGACAATTTTACCCTGAACTTACCACAAAAACCCCAAACTGGTACATATGTGACAATTTTACCCTGAATTAAAATTTTAATATTATTTTTTATTTTTTTTTGAATTTTTATTTATTTTTTTTTTCCTTTTATTTATTTTTTATTTATCTTCAACCTCTGGCCGGTCGCCGGTCCGGCGACCGGCCAGAGGCGGAAGCCGGCGAGGGCGACCCTCGCCGGTATCGGGCGAGGGCGACCCTCACCGGTATCGGCGCGGGGCGCCCTCGCCTACGTCGGCGAGGGCGCCTCGCTTGCGTCGGGCGAGGGCCACCCTCGCCGGCGTCGGCGAGGGCCGTCCTCACCGGATCGGGCGAAGGCCGCCCTCGTCGGTATCGGGCGAGGGCCCTCGCTGCGTCGGCGAGGCAACCCTCGCTGAGTCGAGCGAGGCGGCCCTCGCCGGCGAGGGCCGCCCTCACTAGATTCGGCGAGGGTCGCCCTTGCCGAGTCGAGCGAGGCGGCCCTCGCCCGGCGGCCGAGGGCGGCTGCGAGGGCGGCCCTCGCCGGCTCGCCTACGGCCGATCGCCGGGCCGCGGCCGGCGAGGTTGAAGTGAAGAAAAAAAAGAAAAGAAAAAATTCAAAAAATAAAAAAAATAATATTAAAAATTAGTTGGGGTAAAATTGTCACAGTGTACTGAGGTTTGAGGTTTTGTTGTATGTTCGGGGTAAAATTGTCACAGTGATGTACGGTTGGGGTTTTATGGTCAAAAAAAATAGTTTGGGGTAAATGTGTCACAAGTGTACTAGTTTAGGGTTTTTCGTGGTATTAACCCTTTCTATAATTAAGTCATCTAACTCTTTTAGTCTGTGCAATTGAGTCGTTTTGTCACGTACTATTACTATCATCATAAAAATATTGTTTTAGTATTGGTTATGTGACAAAACTTTTGTATGTGATGTTGATGAGGTGCCTAGCGCCATATTGATAAGATAAAAAAAATTTTGAATGCGTTTGGATAATGGAAAATCA